GTTTAATAATTTAAAAAATATATATTTTTATGATAAAAATTTAAAATATTTTATTTTAATAAATTAGAATTGTCTTATAAATAGAGTGATAATTTTTTTTTTCTATTTGAGATTATACTTAAGTGTCATTTTATAATTTTTTGTGACTTATTTAATATTAGAGGAATAAAATGATAAAAATTAATAGAATAAAAACAATAAAATTATCACTTTGTTTTCTTTTAGTTTTCTAAATTTTTACACTTATTTAAAACAAAAATATTTTATGAGTGCAATATCTATTTTTTTATAAGAATAAATGTCTTTATTTAAATATGTTTAAGTTATAAAAAAAATTGAGTAACAATTACTCTTATTCCTCCTAATATGGATTGTCTCCTACCAACATACAATATGCATATACATGATCAAATGGTTAAAAAATAAAATTAAATTAAAAATTAAACTACATCAATAAACTAAATTATGACACATTTAATGAGTAAAGAAGTAATAACTCTTTTAGTCAAAAAAATATAGTATATTATAATAATAGTAATAAATAAGAAAGAATTTACTTATTCTAAGAATAAATTTTGATAGACTTACTTCACTCAATAATTCATATTTTACATTAAATATTCAACCATTCAATTAAAAGTCTTTAATGTATAGATTAAATTTATAAAATTTTTAAAAAAAATTAAAAATTATTTAATACATCATTTTATTAATTTAAATTGATGAATAATTATTAAAAAAATATTTTATATGTTATTTTGAATCTATCTAACAAAATATCATATAATTTTTTTTAAAAAAAAATTATAAACTTAATCTATGTATTAAAAAAATTTAATTTAATAATTAAATTTTTAAAAATTTGATATAGAACATTAATTATTGAAAAAAAATTACTTTTAGAATAAATAATTTTTTTTCATAAAAAATTAAGATAATTTTATCACAAAATAAAAATAATTAAATAATAAAATAAAATATCAAGATATTTTATTATATTAAATATAATAAAGTAATTAATAATATATATTTTATAAAACAATTAATATATAATATAAAAAATAAATAAATAAAAAAATTTAGTGACGCAACTGCCCCACTACCATAAACTTGCACGTCATTGTGTATATTCACATGATTTGTGAGAGTTTTACTCATCACTTCAGCGCTGTACATATAGACCTATTCTGGTCTTCATAACCCTGCCTTACGCTAGAGAAGCAAAAGAGAAATGGAGGAATCAGTTGCGATTTTAACTGACTCTGATTCTGTTGTGCAGGAAAAGCTGGTTCTGTCATCAGATGAAGTGATAGAGAATGGTTTGCGGAGATTTGGGTGGTCAGAGATGGTGCAATGCATCCTTGTGTCCAGTGCCATGTACTTTGATGCACAGCAATCCTTCATAGCCATCTACTCTGACGACTACCCAACTTGGCACTGCACCGATCCCACCACGTGCACCTCTTATTCTAATATCTGCAAGCTCCCAAAGTCTTCTTGGGCTTGGGATGGACCCTCTTCTAAGACAATCGTATCCCAGTTTGGCCTTCAATGTGCCAGCAGCTTCATCACAGGTTTACCTCAGTCTTCTTTCTTCATGGGTTGCCTTGTTGGTTCCTTTCTTCTTGCCACCTTGGCTGACACATCTCTTGGAAGAAAGAACCTCCTCGTTCTGTCGAGTTTATCAATGTCCATATCTTCTGTGATCATTGTCTTCTCCACCAATGTTTGGGTCTACTCAGCTTTTAAATTCCTCATTGGGTTTTGGCGTTCATCCATTGGAACATGTGTTCTCGTGTTGCTGACCGAGAAAGTGAGCACAGAGTGGAGGTTCACGGTGGGGATTCTTGAGTATTTCTGCTTCACTTTGGGGTATATGGTCTTGCCTGGAATAGCTTATCTAAACAGAAATTCCTCATGGAAATCTCTTTACTTGTGGACATCCATGCCTGCTATTTGTTACTCTGTCATTGCCTACCTTTTTGTTACTGAGTCTCCAAGGTGGCTTCTCATGCAAGGCCGAGAGCAAGAAGCCATGGCAATGCTTAAAGGAGTTTCTTCGGTAGAGAATGGTTCTGATTTAACTGCAACCCTACTAAAAGTTCCTCCTAAACAAAAGTCCTCATTTTTTCAACTTTACTCATCAATAGCAGAGTTGTTTGAGAGACGTTGGGCTCTTAAACGGATGTTGGCAATTATGGTGCTTGGTGTTGGGATTGGAATGGTGTATTTTGGCATGCCTTTGGCTGTGGGGAACTTGGGATTTGACATTTACTTGGCTGTTGTGTTCAATGCCTTGATGGAAATACCCTCTTGTGTAGCCACCTACTTCTTGGAAAACTACAGAAGAAAGCCATCTATTCTTGCATTCTCAGTAGCAAGTGGGATATGTTGTATATTGTGCGTGGTTGTAGGCAGAGGGCTGCAAGTGGCTAAGGTGGGACTGTCATTGGTAGCATTTTTTTGTAATGTCACAGCTTATAATGTGTTTCTCATTTACATTATAGAGCTGTTTCCCACGAGTGTAAGGAACACTACAACCTCGTTGGTGAGGCAAGCCACTGTATTTGGCAGCATATTCAGCCCGTTTTTTATAGCTGCGGGGAGGAAAAATGATGTTTTCTCTTATGGCGTGTTTGGAGTAGTTATAATGTCATCCTGTTTGACATTGGTTTGTTTGCCAGAGACCATAGGGGTAGCTCTTTGTGATACCATGGATCAACAAGAGAAAAAGGACACCATATCTGCGTAAAATGCGTAACTGGGTCATGTTATCATGATTTTGTAGGTTCTTTGTGTTTGCCACATTGATTGGAAAAGCTCTTTATGTTGTCTCGATTTTGAAGTGAAAATTTCTAAGCAATATAAATAATAGACTCCGTTACTGGCTTTCCGCCATTTTCCGCTTTCCGCAATTGTTAACATTGTGCCTTATAAAATTAGCATATAAACTGTCTCATGTAATTCACCATTGTTCACATCCAATTGGTAAACATGTCAATGATGAACTGGTATGTTGACCAAGTCTCTCACTGGACAATGTCATCAGTTTTCTGTTCACAAATTGAGGGTGTTAGGTGTTACAATATATATCTCATTTATTTTGGACAGGTTTTCTTTTTAGTTTGAATAGCTGTCAAACTAAAAGATAGTCAAAAGTCTTGTATATTAATCTATGTACAGTGGAAATACAATCAGAGAAGTCAAGGAAACCATGCAGTCAATTTTTTCCAGACTGTTGTATAACATTATATGACGAAGATCAGAATGAACGACTAAATTCACAGCCACCCGAAGTTCCATGTTCTATTAAAAATATTACCTATTCACTGCAACTGTGTATTCCTCTCCACAAGCACATTTTACCACATGACTTATCTCCTGTAAAATTAAAACACAGGTTTGATTTTTATATTTGTTTAATTGATATTATCACTTGATTATATATATCCCTGTTTGATGCTCACATTCAATGACCTATTAAAAATATTTTGTGGATAATTATTTAAGCACATTGTAAAATTTTCCAATGGATTAAACAGAGAAACTTATTTTACCTTAAGTTTCTCAACTTGTTTCTCTAGAGATCGCAAGTACTCAGTTTCTCCTGCTTTGTCTGACAAAAGGGCGTTATATTCCTCTTCAAGAGCAGTTACATCTGCTGCTTTTAGCTCTGGCTAGCATCGCTCGTTCATTGTGAATAAAGACTTAGATAAGATAATTTACAAAATCATTGATTAAAAGCCACAAATTTATTGCTTGTTCCAATAAGAGGAAAGAGTAGCTTCGGATCAAAGATCTAATGAATAAATCAGTATAGGAAAAAAAAACACATAAAATGGAAATGTCTTCCACTCGACCAACCTAAATGAGAAACATTATGATAATCACAGATTTCTCAATTATTCCTGCAGAATAACAACCAACCTTAAACTCATTTTCTTTACACTTCACATCCTCAATAGCCAGTTTTATCTAAGATTAAAAAGAAATAATAGTAAGAAGCGAAGAAAGTTTACAGATATTAAAACCAGATTAGCATACTATAAATCAAAACTTTCCATTCTGTGTTTCTTGAAAAGTTGAAAGCATTAAGGGGTGGAAAAAGAAATCCTTGCATATAAAACTTTACACACCCGTAATTATGCTTAGGGCCATTTTTGCATCTTTCTGTTGGCAATAGATTGATTTTCAACATAATCAACAGCTATTTTAACAAACTTGTCACGGGCAAAATGGTTGCATCTATTAACTTTGTGAAAGCTTGAAAATGGCAATTTTCAGAAAATAATTTTTCCCAACCAGTAAAAGTAATCATATCAATTCAGTTAAGGAGAACTTTATCCATGACTAGAGAGCACACTGTTTAAATAGAATGAACCGTAATTCTAATCTAGGAGGCAGTTGTAAACTTTAACACTGTTCTTATTATAGAGCGTGGGGGTAAATGTGTGTGCATCAAATCCATTTGTATGAGGTCAGTTTTTCAAAAATTTAGCAGACGAAGCTTCGAAGACACCAAGTCTAATTAAACTAGATGATCAACATATTCTGTATTTCAAATGCAAGGATTCAAGTTTGATCAAAGTAAAAGGGGTGTGCATGTATATATTCCATCATGTATCATAAAAAATATGACTAAAATGGTTAAGTGTAGTAGAAGTAGTAGAAAAAAAATGGAAAAACAAAAGAGAAAAATGGAAGGTTGTTTTAGACATATTCTCAAAAATTAGGAGGGACCAGGAGAACTTAAATCAGATTGAAATGATTTGCGTAATTTAAAAAACTGAATTTTATTTTGTAGAATCAATGAAATGTTCCATCATATGCTATAAAAAAGGTACACAAAAATTAATTAAATGAACAACCATAAACGAGTAATTTATACTTCACAGCCTGAAAAGGATGCAGATATGTGACCTTCTTGTTCTCCGTAAGAACCTTGGCTTTCAGAATAAGAATATCATCAAGCCTTGCTTTAGCTGAATCCAATTCAGTGATTAAATTCTTCTTTACATCATTTCCCTGTGAAACAAAGATAAATTACCAGATTCCAATTCCATGTAGTGTACATTCATGAAAGAAGCCTACCACGTTATCCATGACAAGGTTATCATCAGCACCAGCCTTCCCTGCAAGTTGAGATTATGAAAAGAAAGCTAGGGTGTCAAATTCAGTTCTAAAAAACGGCTTTATAAAATGTCTGCAAGTTTAATAGCAAAAAATAAAAATGGACTTTTGATTCAGTTTTCAGCCTTGACAAAATCAAGGTATCCCACTCATTACTGATTTTGTTACAGTGAGCAGATGTAGGTTACCGTAGGTATTCATGGGATGGTTTGAGTTTAAACTCAGACTAAACAAAATTCCACTGGTTCTCAATTTGAGAAATTAAACCAAGCGATATTATCTTATGGAACCAATCCCACAAGGGACAGACAGTCATAACTCTAATGCATCTTAAAATGCATGAGCAATGTATTGATCATTAATTGATATTAAATTCATCTACCAAAACTTCATCAATAAATTCTCAGTTAAAAGCTTTGCTTGAAATGTCCATTATTATTATATATTTTTCAAGATTCATTGTACGTATAATAGTGAGCTAAAGTAGATTGCAGGAATTGTGCACAATGATCCATACAATGTCTACTTTATTTATAATGAATTACAATTAAGAGAATTAGGAAGGACAATTAAGAAAAGGATCTGTAATCCCTAATTTTTAGCTTTACATATTTTTCATATCTTTAATGCTCCTCTCAAACTAGAGCATATACATCATATGAACCAAGCTTGTCACAAATGCAATCAATATGAGGCCCCTTGAGAGATTTAATGAATATATCTGACAGTTGGTCATTAGAGTTGACAAAGTTAGCGGTGATTTCGTCCAAGAGCACTTTCTCCCTTACAAAATGACAATATATCTTTGTGTTTAATTCGTTCATGGTAGGCTGGATTAGATACAATGTGAAAAACGGCTTGATTGTCGCAAATAAGCTTGGTATCTCGAATGTCTCCAAACTATAGCTGTTGTAGAAGCAGTCTAAGCTATGTAATTTCACATGCAGTTATTCAGCTTCAACATTAGATCTAGCTACTGTATTTTGCTTCTCCATGAGATCAAATTCAACCCAATAAGAACACAATAATCAGAGGTGGACCTCCGATCTGATAATGATCCTATCCAATCAGCATCAAAGCAACAAACAATTTTAGTTCCTTTTTCTTTAGATAAAGGTTCGCGACCTGGTGCGTTCTTGATATATCTGAGGATGTGCATGACAACATCCCAATGGCAATCATACGGGGCATTTAGGAATTGACTTACCACGCTTGTTTCAAATGTGATATCTAGCCTAGTGACAATGAGATAATTAAGTCTACTAACAAGTCACCGATATCTTCTCGGGCCTCTCATTGTCTCCCCCTCACCCAGAAGAAGCTTCACGGTGAGATCCATAAGTGTGTCATTTGGGAGATAGTCAAGCATACCAGTCTCGCTAAGAATATGTAGAGCATATTTCCTCTGAGAAATGGCTATCCCAAAGGTGGATTGAGCAACCTCAATGCCTAAAAACTATTTGAGCAATCCTAGGTCTTCTAGCTGAAATTGACTCTAAAGGAGAGATTTGAGCTGATGTATGCCATCAAAATCGGCGCCAGTGATGACTATGTCATCAACAAAGACCACTGGATAAATGCACAGGTCAAATGGAGAGTAAAGAAAAAAGACAAAGTAGTCAGCCTCACAACAGGTCATACCAAATTGTATTAAGCCAGAGTTAAACTAATCAAACCAGACACAAGGAGATTGCTTTAGGCCATACAGAGAATGACAAAGACGACAAATAAGGTGAGAGCCATCTAAAATAGTAAAACCAAGTGGTTGATCCAAGTAAACTTCTTCCTGCAACTTACCATGCAAAAAAAGCATTTTTTAATGTCCAACTAATGAAGTGGCCTATGCCAAATGACATCCATAGCAAGAAATATACAAACAAATGTGATCTTGGCCAATGGGGAAAAGGTGTCCCCATAATCGAGACCAAAAATTAAAGTATAGTCCTTAGCCACCAAATGAGCTTTGAACAGAACAATATCACCATATGATCCAATCTTCACTATATAAACCCAACCACAAATAATTGTAGTCTTGCCATGAGGCAAAGGAACTAGCTTCTAGGTTTCACACCTACATATTTTTCATATCTTTAACATCAACCATTAGCCCATATCTTGTAATCATTGTAAGCAATCTATATACTAAGCTCTCCTGTGTGTAACTGAGAAACATGATCCTCATCTTCTCTTTTCTCTTTCAACAAGCATGTTAAATTTTCTACAGTTGTTGCAATATCTACAGTGATCATTATCATGCATAGCAATGCCATTATATGATTCTATTTATTTTCACTTTAAAATGACAGATAAAAATGTAGAAATTAAAGAAAGGAATAAATAGTCAAATTAGTCCATGAAAGATAGAACACGAGAGTCATATTAGTCCACAAATAATGAAATTAGATCTATTGTCCCTAGGTATGCATTTATCAAATAGTCCTTGAATGAGTATTTCATCAGTCAAAGTTTAGGGTTTAGGGACTACAATTCTGACATTAAAATCATACTCTTGGTTGCCTTTATCATTATATGGGGAATGAATATCACATAACATGTAGATCATTATATGGGGAATGAATATCACATAACATGTAGATCATTATATGGGGAATGAATATCACATAACATGTAGATCATTATATGGGGAATGAATATCACATAACATGTAGATCATAATGACTTTATGTTAGATCGAACAGAAATTTTTTAAACACTCACACACCAATTATCTATATAACCTGAAGCTCAAACATCAGAATGGTAATAATAAATGGCACGGCATTTAACAACAAAAACAAGAAGCCTTCTCTCTCTATGTGCATTTGGCTACATGGATCAATTGATACCAATGAACTCTATTAAAAACCAAAGTTTTAGTCAAAAGCTTTTGCAAGTTTTTTTTTAATGGCTCCTCCATTTGATCAGACTGTCTTCCATTTGATCAACTTTCATCAGTAGAACCTTTATCGGTTAGTGCTTCTTTTATGGTTGAATGATCAAAAGATAAGCTTGGTTATGGAAAGCAGGCAGTGGAGGCAAACTAAATATTCATCCTTCACGCAACCCATATTTAGAAGCCAAAATACGCTTCTTAAACTTTGCCAACAATTTCAGGAGGGTCTATTTCTTTGCTTCCATCTACCAAAGCTAATTTATAAAAAAAAAATTAAAAAAGTAATGAACAAATTCAAATAACTTATCACAAGTCATTTTGCGTAAGACACTGTAAAACATCACGGAAGAGTCTAGAGCCATGCCTTTAGCTTTACTTCTTTGCCCAACAACTTTTTCTGTGACCTGCATAAATTCAAAATTAAAGGAAATACTTGTCAGAAAAGCATATAAGTTAAATAAGACCTGGGAATCGGAGGAAGTTTTCTTTGTTTTACTCTTCCTTTTAGTAAATAATTTATTAGACAATACTTATATTATTTCCTAATAAATAAGAAAGCTCGTAGAAGTTTGCTCAAACACATACCAAGGACTCTTATTTTTCAGAGGAACCAAAGGATACAAGGGATTAAGGGTATTCTAGATAAACTGTTTTAAGTTATCTGAACGAATAAGAAAAGCCATACCAAATCATGCTCTTTCAGTTCTCTGTTAATCTTCTTAGTACTGACCCATTCCTGCCAAAGATTTTTTTTCAGTACAAAGTTGCAACAAACCGAATGAAAGAACTCACATGAAAAAATGTAATGCATAGCTGGTACCAAAATAGAATTAATGGAACAAAGATGATGGAAAAATAGATTTACTTGGTGAATAAAAAGTAGATTACAGAAGTGGCTTAATCTATGTATCATGACAAGCATCAAGGACAATTCTTAATCTCTGCTCAAGAAAAATAATTTTGAATATATTTAATGAGAATATGGATTATTAATTATTAACAATTAAATATAAAATACTATATCCTATCTTAATTATAAATAATTATAAAATTAAAAAATAATTAATATAATTAATTTTAATTAATTATATCATAAATTCAAACTTTATTTAAATATATTCTTAACGGTTGTCATATTTAATGTTACTTATATATAAATATATAAGAAATAAAGTTAACAATAAATGAAGGTATAAAAGAAATTAAACTCTTAATAACTTTAAAATCTAATAATTATTATTTATAATTAGGACCAAAGAAAAAATTAATGTTTTGTTAATAATTAAGATCATAAGTGGTATAAAATATTTTCTATAAATAGAATAATATGTATTAAAATTACTTAATGACAATTATTTCTTACTAAAGAAAAAAATACTTTGTAAATAATTTAAATGACATTATATGTTATTAAGTATTAATAAATTTTCTTTAATACCTTCATATAGGACATACGTTAATTTTATGGATCACCGATACATTAATACAAAATGATTCATACATACGCTAATTGTATTGATTATTTTAAAAGAGTTCTATTGAATTAAAATTATTGACAAAATCATAAAATATAAAAGGCATAAAGTAAAAATTATAAAATAAAATAAAATAAAATCATATCAGCATGAAAAAAATACTTTTATTGATAATTTTTTTCTTCATTTTTGTTCTATACTTCTATTTACACAATTTATGTACAAATATTTAATTACATATATAAGTATAAATAAATAATACTCACAAATATTACAATAAAGAAATAACATAAAATCAAGCTTAATTATATTTTTTATCATCAAATTTCACGATTTCACGACCTGTCATCTAACTTTTGAAATTACACATTTTTCAACTTAATTTTCAATTTTTTTCATGTATTACTATCTTTTTAATTAATTGTTAGTCTTTATTAATTATCGATATAACATGTTGATCATTGACATAACATATTATGTCATATCATCATCCATATTCACATCATCGATCTATATCAACAAATAATATATCATTTAGTGAACAAGACACATTAACAGTCAACATATTATATCAATAAATAACATGTCATATCAATGGTCAAGTAGTCAATTAACTGAGATAAATAGCTAATTAATAAGGTAATAAAATGTGCAAAGATTTGAAAGTTGAATGGCAAAACTTGCAAAATCATAAAATTTGAAGGGAGAAAAGGGTTAATTAATTTGCAAAATCATAAAACTTGAGTGACAAAATTATTATTATTATTATTATTATTATTATTATTATTATTAAATACATTTTTACTTAATTAAAGTTTAAAGCCATATGTAAATTTGAAAAGAATATATCTTATGTATATGATCAACTAATCATAAATTATCTTAAATATGGTTTTTAAAGTTTACATGATAAAATATTAAAAAGTATTTTAAGAATTTTCAACACACTCATAAACAAGTATTTCCACTCTTTTCTCTAATACCCAAATGACACTCGATATTTATAGATTGTGTTTGGTAAAATCAATTTATAAGATAGCTTATAAGCGGAAAACTTATAAATTAAAAAAGTGAGAGTATGACAGGATAGCCAAAAGGGCTTCTAAATTAAAAAAGTAAATATATTAAGTAAATTAATGGGGATAAAAAAAATTAAAAAAAAATTAAGAGTTTATTAACTATAAACTACTTCAATTATCTTATCAATATACGTTACAAAAATAAACTTTAGTACCAAATAAATTTATTTTAGTCAACCTAACTAATAAGATAGTTAAAGAAACTTACAAACCCTTCAAATATTGTCAAACACATTCATTAGTTGATTGTGTTGTTCAGGATGTAATTTTCGGTCAAAAGCACAAAACATTTTTCATGCAGAACATAAATGTATTTCTAATGGAATTATTTCCCAAACATAATAACCTCTTTGAGGTCAACATCTGCTGTCAGTTGTTTTTATATATTACTTCATGCATTGAGCCTACAGCTCCAAAGGTCACGCAGCGATAACAAAGAATAATAAAGAAAGCGAACCTGTTGCTTCTGTAATTTGGCACTCATTTCCTCTGCAACCTTGCTATAGTAGGCTCTGAAACAGTAAAGCAATTTAGGTGGATATGCATCAAATGAATAAGATTTTTCCCTTAGCATCATCACTTACCTCTTCTCTGAAAGTTTGGCAGATAGCCCAACTTTCTCTTGCTGAATAAGCTCCAAAGTCTATTGAAAGAGTCAAGAACAGCGTCAGGAACCAGCACAAGGCATCAGAAATTTTTCTTCTTTCTCTCCTTTTTATTTAATTCTTAATCACTAAGCACTAAAAAGCGTGTCAAAACAAGAAATAAGGTCCCAATTCTTCATATGTGATAACCAATCCTAAAACCTCGTCTAGATCAAGTTTTCACATCCATCCTATATTAACTCTTGACTTGTTCTGGAAAAAACAGCTTTTAATTTAAAATTTTATTTCATAGTTGCAAGTATACATTTCTTGCTACCACATTTTTTGTAAACCAAGTTAATGCGTGCAAGTGTAATAGCATATGACTTAACACGTAGATGAAATCCACCAAATAATGCTGGCAGAATCACTATATCTATAACAATAACAACAAACAAATCACACTTTCTGTTAGAATTCAAAGTTCGTAGAAAAAGATTGAGAGAAAATGTATAAGACTGAAACATAGAATTTACTGGTGTGAGGAAGGCGAGTACATTAAGCCATTTAATTTGATTTATATATGCAAGTAACTAACTAATAAGCATTTCTACTAACAAACTCTTAACTATTTTCTAAGTAATCACATCTCTAATATTTGACACTCGAGCGGGATCATTGATCACAACAGAGAAAAGTGGTAGCTCAGTCATAAAATTTTGTTTGAACTGGTGCCTCAAATTCACATTGCAGATGCAAATATTAATGCTAATTGCTAAGGAACCAATTGAATGAGACCTGGGAGAGTTTGGATATGTCAAACTCCAAAGAGGCAATCCTTTTCTGCTTTTCCAATATCTTTGAGCATATCTCACCCTTCACTGCCTTCATCTTCTCACTGTCTTCCTTGAATTGCGTAATTCCAGATTTTGCTGCACATTTACATAGCAAATGTACTTCAGTCCAAACTCCAAAGTTTATAAATAACAATAAACATTGTATGTACGGACATGGTAAAGAATTTTAAGCGTAAAATTTTTTACGCTCACAAGTCACAATGCACAGAAATTAAGCTCTATAAATAGAATAATGGTGAGGTTACTCGGTGCTCCTTAGGCGATAGAGCGAAATGGAACAAAACGACATGAAAATTGAAAATGCAAGAGGTGACCTAAGTCGATGTCCTTTTCCAAAGTGCGTATGTTTGTCAATTGCATTTCCTCTTCGACCGAAATCTTCGCCGCTTCATCCTCCATATCTGATTCAATTTCAGTTTTCATTTCCAAATCGATTAAAGAAAATAAACGATGAGGTTGTGGATGGATTGGAAAGTACCATTCATTTGAGAGCGCAGAGTTTTCATGTACTGCAAATACTCCTCCATCTTCCTCTACAATCAGAGAAACCAAAACCGAGTTTCGCGGTGAAAAGAAAACCGTTGAAATAAGCCTATTTGGAGGGAATGGGAATTTATGATGACAACAAACAAAAACAACCACTCAAGAGAGAGAACACTAAAGAGTATTAAATAAAATTTTGAAATTTAAAAATTAAACAAAACACCAATTCATCTAATAAATATAAATAATTGGTAAATATTTTTATTAAATAAAATATAAAAGTATAAATTATTTTATCATTAATAATAATAAAAGAAATTTCTTTACTTAGTGTCCATTTTTACCTTTTTATTTTATTTTTAATAACGATCCATAATTTTTAATAATTGAACAAAACTATTAAAATAAAAATAAAAAAAAAATTATAACGGAGTCGCGTAGAATTTTTTTTCCACTAATTAAATATATAGTATTATTATATGTACCAAATTAACCTAATGGTCTAGGAAAATGGTGCATAAGGAACCACCTAAAAAAAGTAGTCTATCATTCATCATATTTACATAATTATGAAACTACCTTAAAAAATGAGCACATTCTGTAATTAAAATCCTTGGACCAATCTCCCTTTTTTAAGCAACTTTTCACGGTCACTTACATTCCTCTAAAAAAATAATAATAAAAGTTACAAAATAGTAATTGATTTATATCTTATTGAAGATAATTATAAAGATAAAAAATATTTTAAAAAAATGTGGAAAGATTGTATCATTTTTATATGTTATTATAATTCTTGAATTAATAATAATAGTTGGAGAAACCTCTTTCATTATGACACTTATAAAATTCCAATCTTATTTTTTAAATAAAATTTATTAAGGATGTGTTTAGTAGAATTGGCTTATAAGTTAGTTAAAATGTTATAAACTAACTAAAAACTTATAAGTTATAGAATGAGAGTTAAAAAGTAAGAAGCTTGTAAGTTAGTTTATCGAATTAAAAGTATTTAAAAAAAACATTAACTAATAAATGTAAATTGATATAAAATGATTTTCATAAAGAGAATGAGAGAATCACATAATAAATAAAATATTTCTAAAATAAAAAGAATAAGAAGGAATTACAAGTAAATTAATGAGGATAAAAAGGAGAAAGAAAAAAAAAAGTTAAGAACTTATAAATTATAAATCAGTTTAGAAAGACTTAAATATGTTTTTAATCCTTTAAATTTAAGATAAATTTATTTTTATCCTTCAAATAAAATTATTATTTTTAATTCCTGTAATTTTTAAAAAATTTGTTTTAATCTCTTAAGTCACCAATAACATATTTAAATATAAAAATTAAAATAAGTATACAATATCAGTTGGTTTAATGTAATATTTTTACTAACAAGAATACTAATAGATAAATTTTATACGTCAATATTTTATAGATTTCATGACAAAATTTGAGTATAAAGATATTAAAATAATTTTTTTTTGAAATTACTAGGATTAAAAATAATATTTTTAAATTTGAGGGACTAAAATCAAAGTTACCTTAAATTTGAAGAACTAAAAATATATTTAAGTCATTTAGAAAAATGGAGTGAACCAACTAAACAAACTAGTTTTATCAAGAATTGAACTTTAACAGATTTGGTTGCTTTAGAGAACCTTTTATATTGAACCGCTATTTTATAAATATAATTTAATTATTTATATTAATTTACCATTTTAATATCTTTATTTTTTATATTTTATAATATATTAATTTGATATTTTTATTTTAGATGTAAATTTATTATCATTAATAGACATTGTTATATTTTATTACAAAGATATGTTATAAACTCTTATAAATATTTGTATCACATAAACTTATTTTAATTAAATTAACTTATAAATTAATTAAAAGATGTCCGACTTATAAGCTCTGAAAACACCTTACTTTAAACACTTAAGTCTTAAACAGAGAATATAATTTTACTTTGACCAATTGCTGCGGGAAATTTTTTTCATCTTTATAAAAACATCCTACACATTATCAATAACCAAACGTGACCTTATTCACTCCAGCAACCCAGCCATCGATACTTTATAACCTCGTGAAGTTTTCGTTCCAGCAAAAAATCTTTCTTCCCCACAAAACAGTTGTTACTATTAACAAATAATTTATGAAAACTAAGTTTATCTGGTTTTAATCGTAAAAGAAAATGATAGAATACGTGGGTTGTTTCGTCTGTCTATTTTTTTTTTTTTTCATTTTTAGTGAAAATGGAAACCTTTGGTGAAAACTTGATGGTGAAAATGGTTTGAGTTTTAAAAAATATTTTCTATAAAATATTCTCAATATGCGGTCAAAATTGAAAACAAAAAAAATTCACGTTTTTAATATTTTCTAACAAAATGGAATGTGGTAACATTAACTATAATTATAAAATAACTTATTTTTGTTCTTTTCAAATCTTATTATTCCATCATTTCTTTATTAGTGATAGTGACAATAATAATAATGGTGGTAACAACGACACTAATAATAATGATGTCATTATGATTATCATCACAATCTCTAGTTAGGGATGGCAAATATATTCGTACCCGCGAGTAATACCCGAACCCGTCCCGACTTTGACGGGAAATACCCGGTTTAAACGGGTACGGGTAAAACCCGATATATTAAATCGGGTACGAGTACCCGTACCCGTTCCCGTTTCCATTTTTAATTTAATACTCATTTTCAATTTAATTATATTAAAGAATTTTAATAGTTTTTTATGTGTGATTATTTATTATAATATGAAATAGAGAAATAACCTAATTATAATTATAATATAATTGTTAGTACCAGAAAATGAATTCGGAAACACTCGAAATACAGGGGCGCTCGAAATCTTAATTGATCAGAAAATGGCAAAAGAAATTCCTGAAGAAGGCATACGAAGCCTAAAGAGAATCAAGAGATACACGAAGACATTTTTCGTGAAGCTCTCGAAATCATTGAACCGGGAAGGATGTTGCTCATGAGAAAGGCTCGCAGCCTCGCAGCCTTTCAAAGTACAAGAACAATCAGGAAGCACTCAAGTATATTTTCCGTTGGTTACTCGAAATCCCAAGGATCCGGACATACAAGAATACACTTCGTAACCTCTCAGAATGAAGAACTTAAAGGAGACACGATGTAATAGCGGTTGAAGTAAATCATGGGATAAGTGTCAAAGGCTACAAAACGGTTTGGGGAGGTTAATGAGCGATTCCAAGAGTTATCCAAAGACGTGCCCTGGAATAAGCCACGATGTGGAAGTTTAGAACGGTTATGCACTTCCGGGACACGTCAGAAACAGTTACCTTTCCCAAATCTTTGTCTATAAATTAAAAGAGTCATGCTCGTAACAAAGGGTCAGAAATCACACACCCACAATACCTCACACG